GGAATCATTCCTCTACTGATGATCGAGCCTTGAGGGACCCATCAGACCCTAACACTATTGTTAAGGATGTGAGTATAATTATATTTGTAATTTTTGCATAGGTCTGTATAAAATTTCTATATGCTTGGTAATCATAACTTTAATTGTAACTTTAATAAAACTTGTAAAATAGACTAGACTTTGTACTGGTGAATGTATGTGTGGTCACACTACCCTTAGTCTTTATGTGTTCCTAGGGACCCTAACTCTGAAGCAAGTAGCAGAGGTGACTTTCATAGAATCAAATCATAGAATATCAGGTTTGGAAGGGACCTCAGGAGGTCATCTAGTCCAACCCCCTGCTCAAAGCAGGACCAATCCTCAATTTTTGCCCCAGATTCCTAAATGGCCCCCTCAAGGATTGAACTCACAACCCTGGGTTTAGGAGGCCAATGCTCAAACCACTGAGCTATCTCTCCCCACACTCTGTTAAGCCTGAAACTGTATCCTCCAGAGCTGAACCTACGGTGGTGTAATACCACATTACAAAATGCACTTTGAATAAAATAAAAGGCTACATTTCCACGAACGAAAGAGTTTAGGAGACTTCCTATAGTCCTTAGTCCTGTCCAAGTAGAATGCTAGCATTCTTCTAACATCTAGCATAGGCAGAATCGCTTCCCTGTTATCATGATGTGGTTTTGGGAAAAAACAGGAAGATGGATTTGTTGATTCATATGAAAAGCAGAAGCTACTTTTTAGGGAGAAACTTGTGATGCAGCCTCAATGTTACTTTGTCTTTAAAAAAGAGTGTGAATGGCAGGTGTGCCATCAGGGCTGCTATTTCTCCTATGTGCCTAGCTAAGGTGATGGGAACCAGAAATGCTGTCTTCATAGAATCATAAAATATCAGGGTTAGAAGAGACCTCAGGAGGTCATCTAGTCCAACCCCCTGCTCAAAGCAGGACCAATCCCCAATTTTTGCCCCAGATCCCAAATGGCCCCCTCAAGGATTGAACTCACAACCCTGGGTTTAGCAGGCCAATGCTCAAACCACTGAGCTATCCCTCCCCCCCATGGACAGGTATGAAAGAGAGTAAGTCATTATGGGCTCAAAGGGAGGCTAGTTAAGGCTCTGAGAACTAGATTAAGATTCAAGGTTTGAGTGAAAAGAAAAAGAGGACTTGTGGCACCTTAGAGACTAACAAATTTATTTGAGCATAAGCTTTCGTGAGCTACAGCTCACTTCATCAGATGCATTCGGCTTGAGTGGGTGGTCTCACATGCAGGAACAGGTTTCCAATACTCTTATAGGAATCTATGTGTCAGTGGGTGAGCGAACACTGAATATCCATCTACTTGACAGTGGAAGGCCATTATGAGTGCTAGATGTACTTTAAGGGAGCTGAGAGAGAGTTCTGATTTTTTGAGGTCTAAAACATAGTCTAAAATCAGAGGGAGGGAGAATGACACCAAATTTGGAATTGTTTCCATTTTTGCAGGTAAGTATGCCGAGTGGTCGATTTTGGCTGTGTAGAAACACCTTGTCAGACCATTCTACCACTAAGTATTGGAACCAAGAAGGAGTCAAGCCTAGAGATGAAAGATCCACAAGTTGGGGTAAAGGATGAGTCTGTAGTTTTAAGAAAGTCATTTTGAGAATGGGCCAAAGACAGACCAGAGGACATACTGCCATCTATGCCAGGTAAGGGAACCAACCTTACCTTGGCCAGGAGGGGGCAATCAAAATAACCCTTGTCATTGTATTGTCAACAGGATCTTGGATAGTAAAGGAAATGGGGGAAAGGAGTATAAAAGGTCCCTGACCCATGAGAGAATGAGAGCATCTCCCAGAGACTGTTTCCACAGGCCTCTCTTGGAGCAATAGTGAGGACATTTCTTGTTCCAGTAAGTAGTGAAGAGCTCTATAGTCAGGGTTCCCCAAAAGGCAAATATGTCGTGAAACACCTCTGAGTTCAGTTCCCATTCGTGGTTTTGTGAAAAGTTCTGACTGAGACTGTTGGCTGTCATGTTCTGTATCTCTGGTAGGTAGATGGCTTAGATGAGCATGTTGTGATGGTTGCACCAATTCCAAAGTTTGAGTGCTTCTGTACAGAGGGAGTGAGATCTGAAGCCTCCCTGACGATTTATGTAAAACATATTGTCCATCATGATCTTTGTGAGAGAAAGTGTGCACAGGCGTTCCTGGTAGCTCTTAATGCTCCCAGCCTATTAGGGAGGCATCCTTCATCAGAGTTGGTGATGGTTGTACGAATGGGACACCTGTTCGGACATTGGATGGGTCTTTCTACTAGTCCAGGGAGAGCTTTACAGTGTAGGGCAATTATAGGGGTTTGCTTAGTTTGTCCTTGTTTGGGGAATAGAAGGATCTGAGCCACATCTGTAGACACCTCATGAACAACCGAGCGTGTGGCATGACGAAAGTGCATGCTGCCATATGACCAAGCATCTGTAGACAATTCCTGGCTGATGTTTGTGGACTGGCCTGGACTATCTCAATGAGACTTGTGAGGGTGGTGAACCTGTATAGCAGGAGGAATGCCCTCACTTATACTGCATCAAATTCAGCACCAATAAACTCCAGTTGCTGTACTTGGGTGAGTGCTGATTTCTGGGTGTTGAGCTGTGGGCCCAGTTGTAAAAATGTGCACATGGTCGTCTGAGTGGCTTGTGTGGCCTCCTTAAATGAGGGAGTCCTGAGGAGGCAGTCATCAAGGTATGTTCACAGGTGTGCTGCTATGATGGACAGAACCTTGGAGAATACCCTGGGTGCAGATGAGAAGCCGAATGGGAGCACCCTGTATTAATAATGGTTCTGGCCAAAGGTGAACTGTAGGAACTTCCTGTGCGACAGTTTGTATTGAGATGTGGAAGTAGGCATCTTACAGGTCCAAGGCTAAAAAACAATCTCCTTGCTCTAGAGCTGAAATAATTGCTACTAGCATGACCATCTTGAACTTCTGCGCCTTCACATATCTGTTTAATGCCCTTAGATCTAGAATGGGCCTCCAACCTCAGTTCGTCTTGGGGATCAGGAAATAACAGGAGTAAAACCCCTTGCCTCTGAGTTGCATCAGAACTGATTCTCTGGCCCCTAAGCATAACAGATTATCTCTTTTCTGGCAAAGTAAGTTCTCATGAGAAGAGTCCCTAAAAAGGGACAGGGAAGGAGGGTGGCTATGGGGGAGGGGTGTGAATTGAATGGCATAACCCTTCAAAATAATTTTCAAGACCCATCTGTCGGAGGTGATATTTTGCCAACTTTTGAGAAAGATGGTCAGGTGACTTCCGAAGGGCCATGACAAGTGCATAGATGGCAGTTGATTTTGCAAGGAACAGCTGTTTGAGACCGTGACAAACCTGTCAAAAGTGCTTAGGGAAGGAGGGGTGTGAGGTCACAGACTGGGGGGCTAATTGCTTCCATTTTTGTATCCTGGATCTTTTACATTGTGGCTCGTAAGAGTGCTGTGATGATAGGTACTGAGGTGGTCGTGAACTGTGCTGTGATTGAGAGCCATATTTTCTCTTTTGTCCAGCAGTATAGATTCCCAGGGATCATAACGTGGCCTGGGAATCCTTCAGAGTATGAAGAGAGGTGTCAGTCTTATAAGCGAAGAGCTTGGGGCCTTTGAACGGGAGATCCTCAACCATTGGCTGTACTTTTTGGGGCAACCTGGAAAGCTGTAATCAAGATGCCCATCTCATTACCCCTGCTGTGGAGACTGAGTGGGCTGTTGTATCTGCTGCGTCCAATGCCATCTGTAGTGCAGTTCTGGCTACTAACTGGACCTCTTTGAAAATGGCCTGAAACTCTTCTTTTTGCATCTCTGGTAGACGTTCAATAAACGCATGGAGTTTTCCATAATTAATAAATTCATATTTTTTCTTTTTTGTTTTTTTTTTTCTAACTGAGAAAAACAGAAAGTCTAGACTACTATATGCCACTATGAGGGTGATCCCTCCAGCAAGGGAGGCGGGGGGGAGACGATCTTATAAAAAGTTCTTTTTTTAAAAATCCCAACAGGGTAAACAGAAACTCTAACTATTAAAGACAACAAAAAGACTAAAAATAACTACTACTTAAACTAATGATGCAGAGAAGGAAGAGATAACTTCTCGCTCCATTTGAGGCCAAAGGTAGTTGAGAAGGAACTGGGGGCGATTCACATGCACAGCACTCAATAGTGTCAAGGCAAACAATGAGAGCGCATGTGCGGGCCGAACAGACACTGCTACCTAAAATCTCTGATTAGAGGCTTGGGGCATAGATACACCCACAGTGAAGCACCCATAGGGACACTACTCAAAGAAGAAGTCTTGAATATGTAGCTAGGCCTGGTGACTTACTGCTTTATAAATTATCAATTTGCTCCAGGACCATCATCTTCTGACACCTCAATCGCTGCTATCATCTCATCGTTATTACCAGAAAGAATTAACTAAATCAGAAAGTTAAGAAGTAAAGATGTTTAAGTGTATTTACAATGAATCAATACTTTAAAATACAGGTATATTTCCACTGACAGTTTAGCATAACCGTAGGCACCACACTTAAGATTCATATGAACTAATTATTGCATATTTGCATTACACTGTCTAATACTCATTTAAAAAAACTAGGAATTCATATGCAGAATACTCTACTCTTGAACACTTGCTAAGTATATTATTCTCTTGCAACCCTTCTGAAAATAATTTAGTTTTGTTTTAGGTGTGTAGTCAGGTATCATTTATGGTTTACTATTACCTGTTGACAGAAAAGCTGCATAGCTTTAATCTACAGTACAAATCAAGAACACTAAATCTTAACAGATATTTTTCTCTGTTCATTGAGAGAGTTTTTTTTTAAATTGTAAGACAAAGGCTAAATTATGTTTGTGTCATTCCTGTGAATTCCATTAGAGAGCAGACATGCACTGGGGTATAGTAAGATGGCAGCTATGGTCTTCATTCAGTCCTGCATAGTTTCTACAATACTTAAGTCTATGTTTATTTCATACCTGTCTATCCCATAAATGTAGACGACTGAAAACATCTCACAAAAAGCAATTATCAGCAAGGGAATTGATCCAGCAAAACTGTCAAATAGTGCCAGCCAGTAGTTACCAGAATTCAGCACAAAAATAAAAGCAAGCAAATAAGACCCGGCACAAATCAAACCTGTAAATAAAGAACAAAGTCAAATATTTTAGACATAGACTAAAGCATAAAAACTAATAAGAAATGTGAGACTGTTCACTTCTAACTAATTTTAAGACAAGACAATTCCAAATTTCTTTAAAGATGAGAGATACTGAAGAACCATACAATACCTACCTGTAACAAGTTCCTTAGGCCATTTTTTGGGTATGACATTAAGATCTTGCAAAGGTACAAGAACACCTTCCATGTTTCCAAACATAGATGACAAGCCTAAGCAGAACAGCATGATAAAGAAGAGAATGGACCACAAAGGTGAGACAGGCATTTTGGTGATAGCTTCAGTGAAGACTATAAAAGCCAAGCCAGTTCCTTCAACTCCCTGTAGAGAAATAACAGCAGACTCAAAACGTAGGAGCACTGACACTATTTAGCATTTAAAAATACTTCCATGTATACCATAGATGGTAATGCATTATACTGTACTATAGTTATACATTTCTATTTATTTTCATAAATCAACCCTAATTCTGCATTATGTTTACATGTATAAAGAAAAGGAGTACTTGTGGCACCTTAGAGACTAACCAATTTATTTGAGCATGAGCTTTCGTGAGCTACAGCTCACTTCATCAGATGTTTACCGTGGAAACTGCAGCAGACTTTATATACACACAGAGAATATGAAACAATACCTCCTCCCACCCCACTGTCCTGCTGGTAATAGCTTATCTAAAGTGATCAACAGGTGGGCCATTTCCAGCACAAATCCAGGTTTTCTCACCCTCCACCCCCCCACACAAATTCACTCTCCTGCTGGTGCTAGCCCATCCAAAGTGACAACTCTTTACATAATCAAGTCGGGCTATTTCCTGCATAGATCCAGGTTTTCTCACATCCCCCCCACCCCCATACACACACAAACTCACTCTCCTGCTGGTAATAGCTCATCTAAACTGACCACTCTCCAAGTTTAAATCCAAGTTAAACCAGAACATCTGGGGGGGGTGGGGTAGGAAAAAACAAGAGGAAACAGGCTACCTTGCATAATGACTTAGCCACTCCCAGTCTCTATTTAAGCCTAAATTAATAGTATCCAATTTGCAAATGAATTCCAATTCAGCAGTTTCTCGCTGGAGTCTGGATTTGAAGTTTTTTTGTTTTAAGATAGCGACCTTCATGTCTGTGATTGCGTGACCAGAGAGATTGAAGTGTTCTCCGACTGGTTTATGAATGTTATAATTCTTGACATCTGATTTGTGTCCATTTATTCTTTTACGTAGAGACTGTCCAGTTTGACCAATGTACATGGCAGAGGGGCATTGCTGGCACATGATGGCATATATCACATTGGTGGATGTGTAGGTGAACGAGCCTCTGATAGTGTGGCTGATGTTATTAGGCCCTGTGATGGTGTCCCCTGAATAGATATGTGGGCACAATTGGCAACAGGCTTTGTTGCAAGGATAAGTTCCTGGGTTAGTGGTTCTGTTGTGCTGCTGGGTTAGTCACAAGTCTTGGGAGACAGGCCAGTCCTTGCCTACAGACAGCCCCGCAACCTGAAGCAAATACTCACCAACAACCACATACCACACAACAGAACCACTAACCCAGGAACTTATCCTTGCAACAAAGCCTGTTGCCAATTGTGCCCACATATCTATTCAGGGGACACCATCACAGGGCCTAATAACATCAGCCACACTATCAGAGGCTCGTTCACCTGCACATCCACCAATGTGATATATGCCATCATGTGCCAGCAATGCCCCTCTGCCATGTACATTGGTCAAACTGGACAGTCTCTACGTAAAAGAATAAATGGACACAAATCAGATGTCAAGAATTATAACATTCATAAACCAGTCGGAGAACACTTCAATCTCTCTGGTCACGCAATCACAGACATGAAGGTCGCTATCTTAAAACAAAAAAACTTCAAATCCAGACTCCAGCGAGAAACTGCTGAATTGGAATTCATTTGCAAATTGGATACTATTAATTTAGGCTTAAATAGAGACTGGGAGTGGCTAAGTCATTATGCAAGGTAGCCTGTTTCCTCTTGTTTTTTCCTACCCCACCCCCCCCAGATGTTCTGGTTTAACTTGGATTTAAACTTGGAGAGTGGTCAGTTTAGATGAGCTATTACCAGCAGGAGAGTGAGTTTGTGTGTGTATGGGGGTGGGGGGATGTGAGAAAACCTGGATCTATGCAGGAAATAGCCCGACTTGATTATGTAAAGAGTTGTCACTTTGGATGGGCTAGCACCAGCAGGAGAGTGAATTTGTGTGGGGGGGTGGAGGGTGAGAAAACCTGGATTTGTGCTGGAAATGGCCCACCTGTTGATCACTTTAGATAAGCTATTACCAGCAGGACAGTGGGGTGGGAGGAGGTATTGTTTCATATTCTCTGTGTGTATATAAAGTCTGCTGCAGTTTCCACGGTAAACATCTGATGAAGTGAGCTGTAGCTCACGAAAGCTCATGCTCAAATAAATTGGTTAGTCTCTAAGGTGCCACAAGTACTCCTTTTCTTTTTGCGAATACAGACTAACACGGCTGTTCCTCTGAAACCTGTTACATGTATAAAGTATATTACTGAGATAACTTTTCTGGAATGGACAATAACAAAATAAAATCAAACCATGTAACCAATTTTTCCCTATAGTTTTCTCCTTATCTCCCACAATTGTGCCATGAATAGAATGCTCATTGAAACCACTGGGAGTTCCGGTCGAAAAGGACTGTGCAGATGGAGGCATTATATCAGATTATAAGAAGCCCAACGAGCCAATTTAGATGGAGTCAGTTTTTCACAGAATAACATCAATCCTAAACAGAGCATCACTATAACTAGAAGTGCAGTTTACACATTGCAATTCAGTAAGACAGTTTGAGTTATGCTCTGAAACCACTCCTATTTCATGGGCAATAAACCCAAATACAAACTTTTAAAAATATCCACAGTTTTTAATATATGTTAAATGCTATTTAGTTTGCAAAGTCAAGCATTCAAAAGCTTGAAAATACCAGATTTACAAATGCCAGAGCAATCTTTATTTTCCCAATTTGTGCATCCATCCTGTGCACTGAATAAGGAAAATATAGTATTTGAAAATCCTGTGGAAAATATAGTATGTGATCATGTAATTAAAGACAGTATCCTAATTCATATAAACAAAGGGTCTAAATTAAGATGTCCAGGAAACTGTAAATCTGACAATCCCTAACTTTTGATTGCTTGTCTTCACAACCTAAATAGTTACCTCAATGTAGGGTTTTTTCATATGTATTTTCCTAACTTTTCTAAAAGATAAAGGTAAAAATAAAATTCTGTTATATACAACTGTAACAAACCCTTCCCACCAACCAACCATCAGCAGGGTTTGAAACCTAACCCTTTAGCATGGCAGCACTAGCTGCAGGTAACTGAACTTCAGGGTTAGCTGGCAGCAGGTATGGTTGTTGTCCCAGAGTGGGGCTGGATGGGTCCAGGGTTGGCTGGGATTGGTTGGAGTGGGGAACTTGGCCCAATTCTTTCTCCTCACCTTGGGAGCTGAGGGAAATCCTGCCCCACATTGTGCCCCAGAGGGAGACATGGGCCATGTTTTGGGTCCAGGCTGGGAAACCAGCCTTTCTTTCTTTTCTCCCACTATAGCTGCTCTGGCAGCTCCTAGGCTTTTCCAGAGTAGTGTTGTCTCCCACCACTTTAACAGTACACTGAGCCTGGGCTTAGAATATTTGTGGGTTTTTTTATTATTCTGGGTGGCTGCCAAAAATTTCTTGAGGAATGAAAGTGAGAGGAGGGAAATGTCAATGTTTAACAGTTTTTAGCTCAGCAAAAGCTGAATGGATTTTCATGCGCCAAAGAAAAAGCACTTCCCTAGTCCAGAGGCATTCCTTCTACCAAATATCAAAAGCATGCTGTAAATGGAGTAGACCTGAAAGCATCTCATAGAAAAGGTTGCAACAGGTTCCTTTATAATGGTTCATCCATTGCATTTCCTTTATAATGGAAAGCGTTAAGAAACTTAAATATAAGGGCTGTTACCAGCTCACTCTGTAGTAGTGTCAACTTACATCAGTTAAGAAACTTTCGAGGTTACAGGTCTCAAACTTAAGGCCTACAAAAGTCATTGTATCAGTCATGTTACACCACTTCTGCATCTGTTCAAAGTTTTCCTGGGTTACATTACCTTCTGGCAAATCGAAAGCATTTGTCAGGGTAAGAATATTTCTGTAAAAGTAAAATATAAATAATTGGAAATTAATGTTTGTATATAAGCAAACTAAGCTTTCACCTTCATCATCAAATACATTATCATTAATTCCATGTCTCATAGTCATAAAGAAGACACAATAAAGAAAGGTGTTGTATTTGTCTAGTTGTCTGTGTACAGGACTGAGTGCCAGGAAGTCCACTGAGTTTTGCAGGTACAAATTCTAATGTGGGGGCCCCTACTATGTGTCACTATGACAATGCCAGCCTGACCCCCAGTGACTGAGTAGGGGGGGATGGGCAGAGAGGACAGCTGGCCCCTCTGCTCTCAGAGCCCTAGCTGGCTAGAGGGCAGGGAAGAAATTCCACTCCTGGCCTCCTGCTACCAGCTCTTCTTTCACTGGAGAAGGGGAATGCTGTTCCAGAGCAGCTCTGCCCATCTGGATACAGGGGATTGGCCATAGGCCACCTGACTGGCTCTGGGGTGAACTGGCTGACAGAGTGCAAAGAAAAGCCCTCATAGGTCAAAAAGAGAGCACATGCTGCTACTGGGAGGGGCAGGCCTCACTAAATGCAGCCTGAACCCAGGGCTAGGAAACTCATCCAGGAAACATGGTGTATGCAACCCACATCCAACACTGAATCATCCATTGTATTCCATGCCTCAGTTCAGGAGACATTATGGAAAAAATTCTGCTGGCTTTGTACGAACCAATGAATGAGATTTTTAATGAACTGAAGGACACAGACATCATCAGAGAAAGTTACAGCATTTGGGCAACCCCCATCATCCTGGTCATGAAAGCATGGGAAAATCCAATTGTGTGTGGACTATTGGAAACTCAACCAATTTACACATAAAGATGCACATCCCCTTCCTCAGCGAAGCTGCTCTTCATTCTGCCTCCCTCATGATATAGCTAGCAGATGTTGGCAGAACAGATGGCCCTAGAGGACCAGCAGAAGATAGCATTTATCACACCCATGACATTTTGTGAATTTTCATACATGCCATTCAGGCTTTGCAATGAGATGGAAATGTTCCAGTGACTGGTAGAGCATTGCCTAGGAAACAAGTATTTCCAGATTGTCCTTTTGTACCTGGATGACATCATTGTGTAGTCAAAGGTTTATGAAAGTTACATGAAATATCTAGATGTTGCATTTACTAAATTAACTCAATATGGGCTGAAGATTATATCTTCAAAGTACCACTGTTGAGAAAGTGGCATACCTCAACCATAGTGAGACAGCAGATAGGATCTTCTCTGATTCAGAAAAGATCCGAGTTATTAATGGTGTGGACAACCATTTTTTATACATGCCTAGAGTTTGTTAGATACTACGAAAGACTTTCATAAAGGACTTTGCCAAAGCTGGGTGCATCCCTTCATGCCCCATTATGAGGATTAAAGGGCAGGGTTGCCAATAGGAGTCCCATGGATTGGACTGAGGAATGTAAGGAGGCCTTTGAGTGCTTGAAGTTTGCCCTGGTAGGAACACCAGTATTAGTCTACCTGGAACACATCCATATTTTCAAACTTTATACAGATACCAGTAACAAAGGACTGGGCACTGGCCTCTCCCAGGACCAGGATATACAGGAGATGGCAATTGCATATGCCAGCTGAGGAATTAATGTATCAGAGCAGAATGACAAATGCTACAGCTCTTCCAAGCTAGAATTCCTGCCCCTGGACAAAGCCATAACTAAGAAGGGCTACTAGGCAGCTGTTCCCATCACTTTATATACAGATAACCTCATGGCATACATCAACTCTGCCAATCTGAGAACACTAGAGGAATGCTGGACCTCAAGGCTGCCTATCTATACCTTCATGCAAATACAGCTGCTCTATTTAGGTTTCAAATAATATTTGAGTCAGAAATGCTGCAAAGTATAAAGATTTGGGGAGGGATAGTTCAGTGGTTTGAGCATTGGCCTGCTAAACCCAGGGTTGTGAGTTCAGTTCTTGAGGGGGCCATTTAGGGATCTGGGGCAAAAATGGGGATTGGTCTTGCTTTGAGCATGGGGTTGGACTAGATGACCTCCCGAGGTCCCTTCCAACTCCATGATTTAGAGATGATGAAATTGCTAGAAATCTTTCAGCATAACAGTGCTCTCTGGCACTGAGTGCAAAAAGCTATCCTGGAAGCCACCCAACAGCTGAAAGCTGAGGCAGTGGATCGATTTATAGGAGCTGAGGGGAAGACTGGTATACAGCACTTGGGATCCCAGGACAAAAGAAGAAATTGCCCAGACTGTACTGCGTCCACCAAGGGCTGAGATGGTTCTCCAAGTCTGCCACAATGTTTCCGGCCACTTAAAAGCTAAAAAGACAGTGATGGCTGTCCGCAGGTGGTTTTGCTGTGTGGACCTGACCCAAGAATGTGCAGGAGTGGTATGAGGATTGTAAGATCTGTACCTATAAGAGGAAACCAATACCAGGGAAAAGGACCTTCTTTAACCCAACAGAGATCAACTCATATTTACAGTTGTTAGCATTAAAACCACTTGAAGGTGGAATCAAGCCAAAGTGAGTCATAGAATCATAGAATCATAGAATATCAGGGTTGGAAGGGACCCCAGAAGGTCATCTAGTCCAACCCCCCTGCTCGAAGCAGGACCAATTCCCAGTTAAATCATCCCAGCCAGGGCTTTGTCAAGCCTGACCTTAAAAACCTCTAAGGAAGGAGATTCTACCACCTCCCTAGGTAACGCATTCCAGTGTTTCACCACCCTCTTAGTGAAAAAGTTTTTCCTAATATCCAATCTAAACCTCCCCCACTGCAACTTGAGACCATTACTCCTCGTTCTGTCATCTGCTACCATTGAGAACAGTCTAGAGCCATCCTCTTTGGAACCCCCTTTCAGGTAGTTGAAAGCAGCTATCAAATCCCCCCTCATTCTTCTCTTCTGCAGACTAAACAATCCCAGCTCCCTCAGCCTCTCCTCATAAGTCATCCTACATCCTGATCATTGTAAATAACTAAATAAAATTTCCAGCTGACAGTGCTTCAAGGACATCACTGTCAGGTCAGCCTGAAACCAGGGGTAGGAAACCAACCTAGGAAGCTGTCAGGTGCACAGCTGCAGTCAGGCTGGAAGACGCAACCCAGATTCAGTGAAGAAGCCCTGACCAGCACGATGATCATGTGAACAGACATATTGATCACCATCATCTTTGTAAGGTCCCTTAATGTGTTGAAGACTGTTTTCAGGTATCCTCTCAGTCTTCTTTTCTCAAGCCTAAATATGCTCAGTTTTTTTGACCTTTCCTCATACGTCAGGTTTTCTAAACCTTTATCATTTTTGTTGCTCTCCTCCAATTTGTCCACATCTTTCCTAAACTGTGGTGCCCAGAACTGTATACAGTGCTCCAGCTGAGGCCTCACCAGTATTAAGTAGAGTGAGACAATTACCTCCAATGTCTTACACACAACATTCCTGTTAATATACTTCAAAATGATACTTCACAATTGCATCACACTATTGATTCTCATTCAATCTGTGATCCACTATAACCCCCAGATCCTTTTCATATGTGTGACTTCTCATAGGAGTACATTAATAGTCCTTTTTTTACTAATTGATAAAATCTGGTACGTATCTGACAGTGGTATTTATTTCTTAGTTGATTCTCAGCTTCCCAAAGGTTATGCAAGTGAACCAAGAGTTTTGGGCCTAGTGAGAATCAAATAGATTTTCCCACCACAAGCCATGTACTAAATTTGAATTTGAGGATAGCTTAGCAAACTGGGATGGCCCCACCACATTAACAATTCCACAAAAAGTGGTAAATCCAGCCCATATGGATTGTATAGGTTTCTCATTCTACAGATCCAATCCACATATCTGAGGAGGGTAGATGCATAGCTCTGCACTTTGAGCTGTTTATTTTTGAGGATGTGCCCCAAAGCGCACACACAATTGTTTGCTCCCACAAAGTACTCATATAGGTATGTGCATATTCAAATCTGCACACAGACATCTGGAGACCTGGTGCTGAAAATCTGCCCCTAAATTATGATAAAGAAAAATTATCTAAATCCTGTTCAAATAAACCAAAGTAAAATTACTCACCTGTTCCCACCTGGGTCATGTATAAGTGTATAATAGGGTATACCAGCCATTCTTGTATTTATTATGCAGACATTTTGGGTCAAATAAGGATTTTAATTACTCTTTTTACAATATTTATTGGTAATAGTGAATACAAATATATTCAAAATTATATTAACTTTTACAATTAAAGAAATTATATTCATAAATAGATATCAGCGGAACTGGTTCCGCAAAATAGTTGGGACATATTCATTGCTGGTGTGAGCTTTAATTAATTTTTGTCTAAATCTTCCATGGAAAAGTTCAAATTTTCTTTCAAAAAAATCAAAAACTGAAATTCTACAATTCAGAAATTATGCCAGGGCCTCGTGAGAGTTGAAGTTATGGTTTCTCATGCTACCATTCACCTTTATAGCCTGGGTTCTATGGATGGATTATATCTCCTGTGATGCAGCATGGTCTCACCTCACAGTGAGGGGAAATGGCTGCATCATGGGAGTCCCCAGTTTTGGTGCATCATGGGAGATATGTTTATACAGGAGAATGGGGACCTGAGGAAACCAAACAACAACTCTCATGACAAACCATAGCAGGATAACTGAATCAGTAGGGAGTAGAGAGAGCTCAGTGGTTTGAGTATTGGCCTGCTAAACCTAGGGTTGTGAGTTCAATCTTTGAGGGAGCCACTCAAGGACCTGGGGAAACCCTGATATTCTATGAAATAGTTTGGATTCTGGCTAACTTATTTTTGGTTTTCAGGAATGAAAATTCAGTGGAAAACAATTCCTTTTCACATACACACACAAAAAAAATGGTTTAGTGGATAACCCAATTTTCTGCAAAAATATTTTCACTGAAATATTTGACCAGTCCTGAATTCAGTGGTTTATGCCTGATTATGCTAATGGTAAATTGTCTCATTACATGTAAAACTATAGTTATTTCAGTATTCATGGTGGGTATTTTGCCAATTTGATCTACCTCTGTGCCAATGGAAATTGCCTCCTTAATAGCTATTTCTGAAAGAACTATATTGACAAAATTATCTCACAAAATGGAATATCAATGACTGGATGGTTTTAACTCTCTAAAACATCACTGTTCAGAACTTTCAAAGGTTAGGGTGGCTATAGGTGGAAAAGGAGGACTGGTCAAACAACTGCCACGCATTATGGTACCATCATTTTGGTTTATTTACTTTTCCTTTACAATGAAATAAACACATCTTACAAAATCAGATGATCAAAAGTTATTGATCTTGGACATGATCATGATTTTTGTTTAAGTTACAGTCAACAATATGGGACCAGATCCTGTAACTGGTCCATAGGGCTCCTTGTGCAAGCAAGTGCTATTCACATGAATAACAGAATAATTCTAACTGAACTAATGGTGTGGAAAGGCAGGCTGCTTCCACTCATGCTAAACAAAAGTCTGTGTAATTAGGTTTTATTACAATTTACCTGTTGAAACAGTCATCATATCTCTCTGTTGCCCTGAACCCAATGATGGAGTATATGACAGTTGCTGCATAAATGGATGTGAAACCATTGATTATAGAGATAATCACAGCATCTTTCTCACAGTTGTTGCTGTAAATCAAAAGACAGAAACATCAGTGAATTTTCCCAATATATATATAATATTAAAAATTGATTATTGGGATTATCACAGGACCAGGACACTAATTTATATGTATATAAAAAGTTTTCTGAGAGTTTAGAAACAAATCTGTTAACTAGGTTGAGATAAACTTAATTAAAAACTGTATCCTCAAGAACTTTAACATTGCTCAGTCATTTTTGTCTTTAATTAGATTGAAGGAATAACACAGCTACATCAAACTTTCAATACAGTTAAAATTAATCAATCATGTGCAAAGGTTATACTTGAAGAAATGTGTAATTAAGCTAAATTATCAATGTGTCAGAGGATAAATTAGAATAAGAACATAAGAACGGCCATACTGGGTCAGACCAAAAGTCGACCTAGACCAGTATCTTGTCTTCTGATAGCGGCCAAAGCCAGTTGCCCCAAAGGGAAAGAACAAAACAGATAATCATCAAGTGATCCATCTTGTCACCTGTTCCCAGCTTCTGACAAACAGAAGTTAGGGACACCATCCTGGCTAACAGCCATCAATGGACCTATCCTCCATGAACTTATTTAGTTCTTTTTTGAACCCTGTTGTAGTCTTGGCCTTCATAACATCCTCTGGCAAAGAGTTCCACAGGTTGTCTGTGCATTGTGTGAAGAAATACTTCCTCTTGTTTGTTTTAAACCTGTTGCCCATTAATTTAATTTAGTGACTCCTAGTTCTTGTGTTATGTGAATGTAAGAATATAGAATGTAAGAGTATTGCTCTCATTCGCATGCTTGCAAGATGGTTTTGTTGGGGGAAGGGGAAAGGATATGAATAATGTGACTTTTCCTAATCACTGTGACAGAGTGTCAGCCCTAGTGACCAGTTTATATTTTACCCCTTACAAATCATGAACTCTTGCATAGCTTATATTTGTTTTAAGGTTATCTATACAATAAAAAAAGGCTAGAAACTTTTTTAAAAAAAATTATCCTTGACTTGTATCTATCCCCCAAAATCATGGGGACTCTGCAGCTAGAGGCCCTGAGGGCCCCAAATGCCAGTTATCTGTGTGTGTAAATGAAAGCTATCTCTGGCACAAAGAGCACACCTACATTTTTGAGGTGTATTTCACCTCTATTTGAAAACTTCACCTCGGATAAGAGATACTCACAACGATCATGAAACAATGAGAAATTCTGTGCATTCACATCCGGAATAGTGTGCTCAAATAAGTCACGATGCATCACATACACTGTAACAGATATTGCAACCTCATGCAATATCTTTGGGGACCATATTGTATTAAGTTTATATATCACCGTGGGCCATAGATTATATGAAACTCCAAGGAAGAGGGTTATCACAGCTACTCCATGAACCAAAGTAGTGGGGAGTGATTAAAGTGAATCACTTTGTAAACACTTCCAGAGAGGTATCACCCCCTGAGAGGTTTGCATATTCTGGTTCATACTGGGTTTCCCAGAGACCAAGAGACAAAGAAAGGGATTTTTTATATAAAAAGGCTGGGTTTAAACTGACTCAGGGACTTCTTTCTCATCCAGCAAACAAACACCTGATAAATTTAGTGTGCTTAAATCTGTTTATTGTTATGTTTTCTCTGTATGATTTTACTTCAAGAATAAATGTTCTTGCTGAGAAAAAGCTGTGAAGTAACCTGTAACTGCTGGCAGTACACAGTTCATAGCCCTTGGAGAGAAAGCAACATACAGGCCCTGGTTGTTAGGAAGGCTGGCTTACTGAGGATATCACAGGGAGCTGAGCCACCTTAAAACTTTCTGATCAGAAGAGAGTGGGACGAGGATCCCTGCCTAGAGACAGGTGACTGCTAGAGACCTGAGAACCTGACTAGGCACTCCTGGTGTGGACCATGGAGAGGAGTGGATACAGATTCAGTACCCTGAAACCGTGACACACATTACATACATTCATAGAGTTTAAGGCCAGAAAGGACTATTAAGTTATCTAGTGTAAACTTCTATGTCTCACCTGCCACTAAATTTCATCAGGTTTCAGAGCTGTAGCTCACGAAAGCTTATGCTCAAATAAATTGGTTAGTCTCTAAGGTGCCACTAGTACTCCTTTTCTTTTTTGTAAATTTCATCAGTTACCCCTGTATTAAACCTATAACATTTTGTATAATGAGAATCCAATAGCAAATGGGCACAACTGATATTTGGTTACAGAGTGCCTGTAACTTTCTGGTTAGTATAACTCAACCCCCAACTCCATCCATTTGTCATAATTTCTATTGACTTGATAATATATTTTATCTCTCAGTGTATGTAATGTATTTCTTGAGACCAAATCCTGCAATCTTTAGTTTGTCGATTCAGACAAAAAGCTCATTAAAGAACTTAAAGGGAGTTTTGCTTCAATAAAGTGAAGGAAGAAATGCATTATCTGGACACTGAAAAATCAAAGGACTACATTGTCAACTATGTATCAGAGGGGTAGCCGTGTTAGTCTTTATTCACAAAAACAACAGGGAGTCCAGCGGCACCTTAAAGACTAACAGATTTATTTGGCCATAAGCTTTTGTGGGTAGAAAACCCACTTCTTCAGTTGCGTGGAGTGAAAATTGAAGATACAGGCATAAATATATATAGGCACATGAAGAGAAGGAAGTTACCTTACAAGTGGAGAACCAGTGCTGAAGGCCAATTCAGTCAACATGGATGTGGTCCACTCCCAATAATTGATGAGGAGGTGTAGATTGTTGATGATGTGCTGGAGAGGTTTTAGCGGAAGGCTGTACATGATGGCCAGTGGGGTTCTGTTATTTTCCTTGTTGGGCCTGTCCTGTAGTAAGTGACTTCTGGGTACCCATCTCACTCTGTCAATCTGTTTCCTCACTTCCCCAGGTGGATATTGTAGTTACTTACTACAGGACAGGCCCAACAAGGAAAATACACCACTGGCCATCACGTACAGCCCCCGGCTAAAACCTCTCCAATGCATCATTAATGATCTACAGCCTATTGTGGAAAACGATCCCCCACTCTCACAGGCCTTGGGAGGCAAGCCAATCCTCACTTACAGACAGCCCCCCAACCTGAAGCAAAAACTCAACAGCAACTACACACCACACCACAGAAACACTAACCCAGGAACCAATCCCTGTAACAAACCCCATTGCCTTCTCTGTCCCCATATCTACTCTAGTGACACCATCATAGGGCCCAGACACACCATCAGGGGCTCATTCACCTGAACAGCTACTAGTGTGATATATGCCTTCATATGCCAACAATGCCCCTCTGCCATGTACATTTGGCCAACCTGGACAGTCTCTGCTTAAAAGGATAAATGGACACAAATCAGACATCAGGAATGATAACATACAAAAGCCAGTAGGAGAACACTTCAATCTCCCTGGACATTCAATAACAGATTTAAAAGTAGCCATTTTTCAACCACAAAACTTCAAAAACAGACTTCAAAGAGAAACTGCAGAGCTACAATTCATTTGCCATTAATTTGGGCTTGAATAGGGACTGGGAGTGGCTGGCTCACTATAAAAGCAATTTTCCTTCTCTTGGTATCGACTCCTCCTCATCAATTATTGGGAGTGAACCACATTCACCCTGACTGAATGGCCTTCAACAGTGGTTCTCCACTTGTAAGGTAACTCCCTTCTCTTCATGTGCCAACATATATTTTTGCCTGTATCTGCAATTTTCACTCCATGCATCTGAGGAAGTGCGTTTTTTACCCACGATAGCTTATGCCCACAGAAATCTGTTAGTCTTTAAGGTGCCACCGGACTCCTCATTGTTATTGTCCGCTATGTGTGGAGAAAACTCGGGTATAGTATATGAATTGCCATGAACTGCCCAAAGATGGAATTTCTTTAGAATTGTCCTATTTAGGGAGCAGGGATTACCCAGCTGCAGACTTGACTTGGATTCTTCTCCTTACATTTACAGAGTTGTTGAGCCCTACAGAGGCTCTGGCTATCTATGCAAGAGCCTTGTGACTGTGCACTGCTTCTGGACCCCATGGCATGGTGCGTTCTGAACAAACCAAGTTTCCACCGACTGGCCTATTTTGCCATTTCCTCCCCTGCTTTACAGCTTTGCTCTGAAGGGTGAGGGAGGGAAAGGGGGAGGAAACATTCAGTATGTAGTGATTCACATCATACAGGTTTATGCTGAATTCATTAGTATTATAGTGCATTGGTGTGCTCTGCTAGGATACGAGAAAAGAACAAGGGCTTCCAAAGGATGAAGAGAAAAGAGGATTGAAGTTGTACTCTTTTATCCCTCCAAAGAAGATGTGCTGGGTCTGAGTCTTCTCAACTGTTGGAGCTGAGAACCATCCAGCCCTAAATAATTATGCAATTAAAGGGCAGAATCTAACTGCAACACTTTATATCAAGTAATGAAATACTGATATCAAATTGTACTTTTTGTGCTTGCTACTTACTGAATGGAATTGTAACTAGAGAAGGAGATGAGGCCTCCGAAGGCAAGGGAGAAAGAGTAGAATACCTGGGCTCCAGCATCCAGCCATGTGACTGGGTTAGCCAATTCGGTAACCTGAAGTATCAGACAAAAGGCTTCATGAATGTATAATATGACATCTTATGATGTATAAATATTACAGCTTATACTGAATATCAGAAAGTCATAATAGTGACTGGAACAAGATCATTGGAGAGATGGTACATAGTTAATTCTCACTCTTAAAACATGGACAGCAAACAAAATGAGTGCTTTTATAAACTACTTTTCTTTGTGTTTCCTGTGTGTTAAAATTAAATATAAGTAAAATTAAATAAACAAATATATACAAAGACAAGATTATGCAAATAATTGTCTCCCTGTAGGTGACAGTAGATTTCTTATCTCTTTTCTCCAAAAAGTGTTTAAGTTGTACCACTTAATACTGATTGATCAGTAGATAAACCCTGATATCTGGGCTTCCCATGGCAGCTGAACACTTATTTTAGTGAGAAACTGCTCTGAAAATAAACCATTTTAATACAGATATCTGGACAGAAAATTCCAAGATAGGACTATAATCCCATCCTAATTCCACCATTTATGTTTGAAACTCAGGCCAAGTGCTTTCTACTGGTAGAGTATGGAAGCGTTCTAGAAGCAGAATGTAGTAGGAGGTGAGAAAATAGTTCACATTGTTCTGGAATGATCCGTCTGGCCCATTCAGGAGTTCAGCAACATAATTTGAGGGTAGCATATATTCTTTCATGTCTGAAAGAATAATCAGCATGATATGGTGATAGGTTTGAGACCGTAATCACCACTACAACAGAAGACCCAAATGGCTAGCATGCAATTATTAACAATTTCCTAATGTGTTCCTCTAATGAAGTCGTTCCAAAACTTGGTTCATGGCTTGTTCAGGGTAAGCCCGTGGTGGGCCACAAGATGCTTTGTTTGGCTGGGAAAGGGAGCTGCCAGTGGGAGTTGCAAGCAGCCATACCTGTAGACACTCAGGTAAACTCATAGAATACCAGGCTTGGAAGGAACCTCAGGAGGTCATCTAGTCCAACCCCCTGCTCAAAGCAGGATCAATTCCCAATTCTTGCCCCAGATCCCAAATGGCCCTCTCAAGGATTGAACTCACAACCCTGGGCTATCGCTCCCCCCAGCTTCTCACAGCCCGCCAGCAGCTTACCATGAACAAGCCACAAATCAAGTTTGGGAACCACTGCATCTAATGCAAAGAAGGGCTCTACCATCCAACTCAAGCCTTAAGGAAATGGCTTTTAGGATGCCTGAAGGATAGTCAGAATACATATTGATGGAAGGGGTTTATTTTCTACTTGTCATTAATGATACAGATATCTACTTAATGGCCTCATTCACAGACAAAAGAATCCAATCACTTACATTGGGAGTGAAGAGATATACAATTCCACTGACTGACCCTTTCAATGTCAAGCCACGGATCAGGAAAATGGTAAGCACAACATAAGGAAGAGTTGATGTTACATACACTGCCTGGAGGAGGAACATATAAATATTTTAAAATATGAGATAAATACTGTTTCGTGAAAAATAGCATAGAAAGAAGGAAATGAGAGGAGAAAACAATGAAATGTGAAACAACAGATAAACAACAGAAAAAAAGTGTCAAATTTGTCATGATTAACATACTGTTGGAACTCTTATGTTTGAGAAATGCAGTACACGTATATTTTGAATTATTAATATATATATTTTGAGTCAGTGCTCAATTTAAGACAGGTTGTAACTCTTCAGCATTGAAATCAGGTCATTCTGTCATGACTGCTAACTATGGGGGAAAAAAATCTACAACCTGATGTCTGATTATTACTGTTGATAATTAGGGGCTATTACAAAAATTTGGGAGCTGCTGAATGCTCAACATTTTTAAAAATCAGGATACTTATTTAAGTGCTTAACTGTGCACTTAGGAGCCTAAATTTAGGTACTCATTTTTTAAAACCTTGGATTTGGTATTCAGATAGTAAATATTGAGGGATGAGCACAAACCCAAATAAGGACATACACATATGATTTGAGAATGGTCATAGCAGAAAGAACATTGGATCTTGGATCCTTCATTAAAGACATCTTAAAGGTAAATAAGTACAGAATGAGAGAAAGGCTTGTTGAGATCAGGGAGCTGGATCCTACTGAATCCACACATAAATTGAATCCCCATCCATCCTACTTCCCTGTTCAAAAGGATTGCTGAGATATATTTTTTTAATTGACATTGGCAATAGTATTACTTTTGCTTATGAAATATGTAGCTTTTATAATGTGACTAGTTTCACATGTCCTCCTGTTAAATAGGGAATCACAATAGAATTTGTATATCTCACTCTCATATAAAACAAAATGTACCTTTCCTGTTGTTTCAATGCCTCTGATTGTGCACACGTACAGTACTCCCCAGGCACATGTTAAACACAGTAAAAGCCACCACTGTATGGTGCCTGAATCATCAATGGAAGTGGAAATATTTAAAGTTTCTCTATACCAGAAATAATCTACAGGAGAACTCTTGGCACACTCTTCTACATAACCTGTAACCATAAAAAAGATGGTCATTCAGTAAATTTATTATAGATATGTAAAATAATTATACACTGATGATCTAATTCTATCCTAAATTACACAACTGTAATCCCACTGAAATTTGGTTGGTAAGTCTCAGAACCTCTTAGAACCTGGTTCCATGGGAAACTAATAGATTCTTACAGAAGGCCAGCCTAATGGCAATTCTCATAGAGATTTTGTTGTTTTATTAAACCTGTTGTTTTATTAAGTCTGTGAAGCTGAATAGGAGAAAGACTCTTGTATATGAGTTTCCTTTCCCGCCTTTTATTGACTGGCTATGAGGCGGTTATGGTGGCTTGGGGAGAAGAAAAGGGGAGGGAAGTTATGAAAACAGGTCCGTTTCTACAGTATGTATTTTGGATTTTTTTTTTCAAATAAAAGAGATGTATGCATGGGTGTTCTTCAGGGAGAGCCTCCTTCTCCAAACTCAATTTAAAAAAAAATCTTTGAGCCTTCCATTGTGTTTATCTTGCAAGAGATCTTTTCTGAGAATTCCCTTCTGGAATGTCCTTGAATCAAGAGTCCCTATTGCCATTAATTGCCCTCTTTCTTCTCAATATAAAGGGCACAATTCTAGAGTTGGAACAATGTACAGGTGGATCTACTGATTGTTGATCTCTCTGCATGAACAGGTAAGTTTGGCTAAATGTAAATGTATACTTCTAGAAACAAAGAAAATAGTGATATGATAAAGGAGTCTATCCTGGGAAGTAGTCACTCTGATAAAAATTTGAGGGTCATGGTGGATAAGCAGCTGAATGTGAGCTCCCAGTGCAACACCGTGGCCATCCTTGGATTCATACACAGGGGAATCTTGAGGAGGAGTAGGGAGGTTTGTATTTGGCACTGGTACATCAGCTGCTGGAATATTGTGTCCAGTTTTGGCATCCACAGTTCAAGAAGGATGTTGAGAAAGGTTCAGGGAAGAGCCACGAGAATGATTAAAGGATTAGAAACCATGCTTTATAGTGACAGACTGAAGGAGCTCAATATTTAGCTTAATAAAGAGAATAAAGGGTGACATGATTGCAGTCTATAAGTATCTACTTGGGGAAAATATTTAATAATGGGTTCTTCTGTCTAGTAAATAAAGGTATAATACGATCCAATGGCTGGAAATTGAAGCTAGACAATAAGGCATACATTTTTAATGGTGAGAATAATTAATCATTGGAACAATTTAGCAATGGTTGTTGTGGATTCTCTCACACTGAACATTTTAAAATCAAGATTAGGTGTTTTTCTAAAACAGACATTCTGGGAATTATTTTGGGGAAGTTCTGTGGCCTGTGTTATACAGAGTGCTTCCTGTCACAGGGCAGCCGGCACCAGTACTCAACGTCAGGGAGACCTGACTCTAGAGAAGAAGCAATGCATTGGACTCACAGTCCAAGATATGCCAGGCTGATGACCACCAAGCTGCAATGGTGGAAAATGAACTAGGCTACAGGACAAGTTCCCAGGAGCTGAAATAGAGCCCCGCAGTTCCTGACAGAGCACTCTGGAAAGCACAGCCAGACATGATTAATTTAATAGACATCAGAAAGTTACAGGAGGTGAAAGTCACTGTGGATGGACAACACATACTGGAGCAGAAAGGCAGCGCTTCACTGAAGGATTTGAAGTAGCAGCTGAACCTGAAGTGGAAGCAAACAGCAACATCCCCACCAGGTCCAGCAACTGCTGTTGGAGGTTGAGCTAAAATGGGAGATGAAGAAAGAAGAGAAAGAGGCTGCTAAAGAAGCAACTTGGGAGTCTGGAGAGGGCAAAGCAACTCAAGACCTCCCAGCTTCAGAGCTGAATAAGCTCACCAATAAACTGAAGCATAAGCATCAACAGCTACAGTTGGAGAAGGAAGCTCTTTACAATGATAGCAGGACCAAAATCAATGAGCTTCAACAAAGGACAAATGACAAGCTGAAACCAAAATCAGAAACTTGGGTGGGGGAGGGATAGCTCAGTGGTTTGAGCATTGGCCTGCTAAACCCAGGGTTGTGAGTTCAATCCTTGAGGGGGCCATTTAGGAATCTGGGGCAAAAATTGGGGATTGGTCCTGCTTTGAGCAGGGCGTTGGACTAGATGACCTCCTGAGGTCCCTTCCAACCTTGATAGTCTATGATTCTATGAAACCGCAACAGCGAAACCATCTCTCTCTGGTGTGTGGGACCAGCTGCAAAGCCAGCAGAAGCAGCATGAAGTGGCTCTGCAAGCCCTCCAGGACCAGATCTGGACATTGAAGACCCAGGAGATGAAGCTGCTAAGGGACCAGAACACAGTGCAAAGCCTAGAACTGCAACAGCGGCAGAATGAGGAGGCAATTGTGAGGCAACAGGATGACATCAACACCTAACTACAGGAATCCTCCTAAGTCAAGGGCCCCCTCCTGTAAGCAAGTTAAGGAACTGAAAGGACTAAAATAGTCCAGGAGAGAGAAGAGCTATGTGAAGAGGGCATGAATATGGACATTGAGATGGAAAACATGGTAACTGTTTACTAAGGGGCTTACGTCCCCACAGAGGAGTGGACAACAATCCAAGCATTCTGGAAGATGGTGCAGGGAGATGGATTCACAACTCAGCGAAGGACTTATAATCAGTGCCTGCCAATACAGAATTGACTATAGAAGCTGCAGTATTGGTGGTAACCTCTACAACTACCCAAGCAAACCCAACTCCTCATGGAGAAGGTTAGAAGACAACCTTAGAAAACATGGTTGCTACAGCCCACAGGGCAAAGTAGAAATCATAGAAGAATCACAGAATCATAGAAGAGTAGGGTTGGAAGATACCTCAGGAGGTGATCTATTCCAATCCCCTGCTCAAAGCAGGACCAACACCAACTAAATCATCCCACCCAGGGCTTTGTCAAGTCCGGCCATAAAAACATCTAAGAGTGGATGTCATAAATATAAAGGGAAGGGTAAACCCCTTTAAAATCCCTCCTGGCCAGAGGAAAAATCCTCTCACCTGTAAAGGGTTAAGAAGCTAAAGAAGGGTTAAGAAGCACCTGACCAAAATGACCTATGAGGAGACAAGATACTTTCAAAAGCTGGGAGGAGGGAGAGAAACAAAGGGTCTGTGTCTGTCTGTATGCTGCTTTTGCCGGGGATAGAACAGGAATGGAGTCTTAGAACTTTTAGTAAGTAATCTAGCTAGGTATGTGTTAGATTATGATTTCTTTAAATGGCTGAGAAAAGAACTGTGCTGAATAGAATGACTATTCCTGCCTGTGTACCTTTTTTGTAACTTAAGGTTTTGCCTAGAGGGATTCTTTATGTTTTGAATCTAATTACCCTGTAAGGTATCTACCATCCTGATTTTTCAGAGGTGATTCCTTTACTTCTATTAAAAGTCTTCTTGTAAGAAAACTGAATGCTTTTTCATTGTTCTCAGATCCAAGGGTTTGGGTCTGTGGTCACCTATGCAAATTGGTGAGGATTTTTACCAAACCTTCCCCAGGAAGTGGGGTGCAAGGGTTGGAGGATTTTGGGGGGAAAGACGTGTCCAAACTACATTTCCCAGTAAACCCAGTTAAAGTTTGGTGGTGGCAGTGGAAATCCAGGGTCAAAGGTTAAAATTAATTTGTACCTTGGGGAAGTTTTAACCTAAGCTGGTGAAAGTAAGCTTAGGAGGTTTTCATGCAGGTCCCCACATCTATACCCTAGAGTTCAGAGTGGGGGAGGAACCTTGACAGTGGAGATTCCACCACCTCCTAGGTAACCCATTCCAGTGCCTCACTAGTGAAATAGTTTTTCCTAATATCCTATCTAGACCTCCCCCACTGCAACTTGAGACCATTACTCCTCGTTCTGCCATCTGCCACCACTGAGAACAGCCTAGCTCCATCCTCTTTGGAACCCCCGTTCAGGTAGTTGAAAGTAGCTATCAAATCCCTCCTCATTCTTCTCTTCTGCAGACTAAATAAGCCCAGTTCCCTCAGCTTCTCTTCATAAGTCATGTTCCCCAGCCCCCTAATCATTTTCGTTGCCCTCCACTGGACTCTCTCCAATATGTCCACATACTTTCTGTATTGGGGGCCCAAAACTGGACACAATACTAAAGATGTGCCCTCACCAGTGCCGAATAGGGGGGAATAATCACTTCCCTCGATCTGCTGGCAATGCTCCTACTAATGCAGCTCAATATGCCGTTACCATTCTTGGCAACAGGGGCAGACTCTTGGCTCATATCCAGTTTCTCACCCACTGTAATCCCCAGGTCCTTTTCTGTAGAACTACCGCTTGGTCAGTCAGTCCCCAGCCTGTAGCAGTACATCAGTAGCAGTGCATCTGCACTTCCATCCTAAGTGCAGAACTCTGCACTTCTACTTGTTGAACCTCATCAGATTTATTTTGACCCAATCCTCCAATTTGTTTAGGTGACTCTGGACCCTATCCCTACACTCCGGCATATCTACCTCTCCCCCATCTTAGTGTCATTCGCAAACTTACTGAGGGTGCAATCTATCCTGTCATCCAGATCATTAAAGAAGATGTTGAACAAAACTGTTCAACCAACCCCTGGGGCACTCTGCTTGATCCCGGCTGCCAACTAGACATCAAGCAGTTGATCACTACCCATTGAGCCCAATGATCTAGCCAGCTTTCTATCCACCTTATAGTCCATTCAGGCAATCCATACTTCTTTAACTTGCTGGCAAGAATACTGTGGGAGACCATTATCAAAAGCTTTGCTAAAGTCAAGGTATATCACATCCACCACTTTTCCTATATCCACAGAGCCAGTTATCTCATCATAGAAGGCAATCAGGATGGTCAGACATGACTTGCCCTTGGTGAATCCATGTTGACTGTTCCTGATCACTTTCCTCTCCTCCAAGTGCTTCAAAATGGAATCCTTGAGGACCTTCTGCATGATTTTTCCGGGGACTGAGATGAGGCTGACCGGATTCTCCTTCTTCCCTTTTTTAAAGATGGGCGCTATATTTGCCTTTTTCCAGTCGTCCA